TAGAAGGAGTATTCAGCCATAAAATTGAATGAAAGTGTATCATTTGCACTGGATGCTTTATATTCAATAAAGTAAGTACTGAAAGACAAATACCACAGGTTCCCACTTCATGTGGAGCTCAAAAGTTGATCTCAAAGAGATGAGAGCAGTGGTTGCCAAAGTCTGGGAAGAACGTGGGGAGAGGGAGGCATGGAGAGAGAATCGTGGATACCAGGGTGCTGCTGGGTAAGGGAAATGACTTTTTCTTTAGCACACTAGGATAACCATGTTTGGCAACAACTAATAGGATATTTCAAAATAGTAGGATGGATTTTGAATGTTCTCAACACAACGATATATGTCTAAGGTGATGGATATGCCAACTACCCGAGTCTGATCACTACACATTATATACATGTATTAAAATATTATATCTATAAATATGTATCAGTTAAAAATGCATGCCTTAAAAATAGAGGAAAAAAATCATTGATAGATATACAAAAATAAAACTTTCAGGTCCAAATAGGATAAAAGAACAAACTTAACACTATGTTGGTAGAATTTTACATATATATATATTTTATAATACATATTCATATAAAATACATATATATGAACTGTTTGTATCATGGGTTTGTGTTTTAGGCTACAGACTGTTTACAGTGAATCAAGATTAAAGGAATTGCTGTTTTGTCCAATGAGTAGAAAAAAAGTGATTTGGAAAAAATATGCTTAGTCTAATGAAATTAATACTCATTTCAAATTATAACTTAAAAAAAAACCTCTGATACTTAGCTGGGCATGGTGGTGCACACTATAATCCTAGTATTTGGGAGACAGAGGCAGGAGGAGTGCTGCAAATTAGAGGCCAGCCTGGCTACATAGTGAGTTCAGGATTAGCCCAAACTACATAATGTAACTGTGTCTCAAAACAAACAAAAACCCCACAAAAGCTGTGGTGCTCAATTTTAAACTTTGAAAACAATACAACCACTGCTCTGAACTAAAGAGAAACGATTTATGTGGCTTTTTCTTTGGTTTGTTGAATTGTTAGGATTCAGTGTAGAATTCTCAGGTTAATAGATAAGCTTTCCTTTTCATTTTATTTACAGTAGTTTCTTGTCAAAAACATGTTCTTTTTTTCCAGGAATGAGTAGCGACAGTGACATTGAATGTGACACTGAGAATGAAGAGCAGGAGGAGCACACCACTGTGGGCGGATTTAATGACTCTTTCATGGTGCAGCCCCCAGATGAAGGTGCAACACGTGATGTCATTTTACACAGATTCACAAAACCATCCCTGCTGCCTCTTTTTCTTCTTGTGCTGCTGCTGCTTCTACTTACTCTGCTCTGCTACTTTTGCTTCTTTTGCTTGTTTTTTTTAAAATTATTGTCATTTGTGAGACAAGATTCTTTGATAAACTATATGGTGAGTACTAAAGAAAATTAGTAGGTAGTTTTTGACTTGGTTAGACACCTAGTCAGTGCCACTTCCACAGCCTGTTATATAGCCAGTGACCTGAGAATGGCTTTAAATTATGAAGAGTTGTAAGAAACAAAGAATTTTTAAGAGATACAATTTTTGCCCTGTGGTGCAGAATACCTACTGTCTGCCCCTTTATAAAAACAGTTTGCCAACAAGGTTTCAGCTATTCGATTTACTTTCCTTTTTTCAGATTCTTTTTTCTAGCTGACTATAAGATAATTTTAAAATAACCTAGATTTCTTAGAAATTCATGCAGCTTATGGAATCATCGGCCTTTTTATTATTTTAATGGGGTTTGAACTCAGGAATTTACTCATGCTAAGCAAGCACACTACCGCTTACTATAGCTCAAGTCTGGAATCATCAATTTTTAATTCCTTTTCCCCCAAGAAAATTTTTAGAGAAAAAAATCACTAAGAGAGACTTATTTTTTATTTTACTCTGTGTTTATTTGGATTCCTTTTACTGAAATGAGACAGCATTTTATAGTTTTATATTATGCTTTACTTTTCACTTAAATATATTCATTTATCATCTGAAATTTTTTTATGGCAACCTAGAATTCTGTCATATGGGTATACCATAACCATTACCCTGTGAAGTACTTTTCTAAAATACAGATTAAACAATAAAATCATATGAAATTAGAGAAGTACTCAAAGTCACTTAGGAGTTTAAATAACTAATCTGAGCATTCCTTTGCAAGATTTCCTGGAATGGCATAATTGTCAGGGTTATACTAATTGTTATCTTTTTATTTTTACATATTTCACTAATGTCCTAGTATCTTTTTCAATACAGAACCAAGCCATTTGATGATTTGTAAGTATTAAGGCACTTTTAGTGATTTCCTCTGCTTCTAAAAGAAGCATCCAGATTTGGGGCAAGTTATTTTAAGTGTTGGTGGGGTCTTGCCATGATATTTGCATGTGTACTTCAATTGGCTTTGAAATCCATTTTGTGTTCACAATGTGAGTCTTGAGTGTGTATCACCTTTTCTTGTCCTTTTCTTCAGCTGCCCCCTCAGTGTCCTCAGGAAGCAAAAGTTAGGCAGTGCCTTTCAGCTTCTATTTGTGGATGTCTGTTACACATTTTGGTTTTTCTCCTTCATTTTCCCGTTGTGTTTGCTTACATGTGACTCAACTAACAACCTGCATACCTTTACCGTTTGAATAACACATTTGGTAAGATCGTTTAAAGGCTTGCAAAAGAAAATATATACCTTGTAGTGGCATCTGCTTGTGATTTTAAAATTTTTTATTCTTTATTCTTTTCTTAGATTCTCATTCCAGTTTTCCTGATGGTGAACAAGTAGACCCTGAAAATCTCCACTTCAATACTGATGAAAACAGTGGAAGGTAATTGCCAGATGGACTTACAAGCTACCTTGACCCTAAAATTGGTTGTAGTTGGTGCTCAAATTTGTCATCAATCAGATAATCAGATTTAGTCTCATTTTGTCATCATCTGTACTTACAATAGTAATCCAGAAACGGATACAGAGCAGCACAGTTCTAGTATGACAGTAGTATGTGGGAAAAAATTAACAGTGTGGGAAGAGTTCTTTATAATATAATAAAGTAGTAGTGTAGCCCTCCGTTAATTTTAGCAAATTAGTACATTCACAAAAGGCAGTTTGTATTCTAGAGCAGAAGGCCAGCTAACTTCCAGAAAGTGTACCGAGAGGCATGCAGTAACTTGCTCATTGCGGGTGCTCTTCTGTCTTTGGCTAGATGCTCAGTTGTGTTTAAGTAACTACCTTAATATCTTGAGTTTGAATCATAGTTCATAGTTTCATTAGGGCCGGTAGATGAGTAAACAAAAAAAACTAGTTATTGATTCTGCCATATAGAAACTTTACATGAATAACCAAAGTAATACTAAACTAAATCTCCTTTTTGGAATATGTTAACAGACTCAAATTTATTTATTTACTTTTTGTCTCTTGTTCAAGTGCAGGCACTCTGTTTGATGGCACATGATCTTTTGGCAAATGTAATTTAAAATTAACATAGATTGGTTATGTTCCTGGTCATATGTAATATTGTTTTAAAATTTTTCATTGTCTTCCCTGCCTCTTAAAGTACAACTGTAGTGCAACAAATGATTTAAAACTGTCTTCTTTATTTTCATTAGTTGTATATTGATGTCAGTGCCGATAAAGACATATTGCACAGTGGCTTACATCAGAATGAAACTGTGATATATAAGGTTTTCTTTCCTATTCATAAGTAATCCCCACCCTAAAATTGCCAAACTTTACCACTGTGCTCCTGTATTTGTTTGAGCTGCTATATATCTTTGTGAAAATTACACTGAAAGTTGACCAAGAGATTATTGAAAAAGCATGAATAACTATATGTACATGTGAGAGACATTGCATCAGCTTATATTTTACTGTTGTTCATTTTTTCATGTCTGATGTCTTGCCTGAATGCCATGATGCATAGTCTACTTATTTTCAAAATAGTTTGCACTTTTTGTTAATAAAAGTAACTTGAGCAAATATGCCTCTGAAGTTTATTAAAAATGGGGACTAGAAACCTCTTTTTGTTCTATTACCTGTACCTGTTTAGCAATATAGACAAGATCATTTTGTGAAGAGGGGTGATGGGCAACTTCTCTCTTTGTCCTTGTATGATCATAATAACCTCAAAGACCAAAAGATTTCTTCATAGATGATAACTTTTTTTTCCCTTTTGACTTTTTGAGACAGAGTTTCACTACACAGTTCAGGCTGGCCTTGAACTCACTTTGTAGCCCATACTGGCCTCAAACTCACAGCAATCCTCCTGCCTCAGTCTCCTGAGTGCTGGGATTATAGACGTTTGTCACTATGACTGGTCATAGATGATAACTTGTAGTTGAGACTTGGTAAGTTTTAGTAATGGAATCTTTGGAAAATATAATTCTTCCCCTAGTTCCTAGCCAACCTATATATATGAATTCTGTACCCAGTTTTTTTAAAAAGAGTCTTAAGTTGCTAAGACTGGTCCCAAACTCCTGGGTTCCAGTGACCCTCCTGTCTCAGTCTCCTGTACAACTGTAGTGCAACAAATGATTTAAAACTGTCTTCTTTATTTTCATTAGTTGTATATTGATGTCAGTGCCAATAAAGACATATTGCACAGTGGCTTATATCAGAATGAAACTGTGATATATAAGGTTTTCTTTCCTATTCATAAGTAATCCCCACCCTAAAATTGCCAAACTTTACCGTTGTGCTCCTGGGACTGTATAGATAGGATTGCTGCATTGTGCCAGGAGTGTATCCCTTTCTTTAGTGAGGGCAAACGCTTTGGTGCCATCCCTCTTGTTTGAGGTGGCGTGCTTACCTTGGCTACGCTAGATTTCAGGTAGCTGTGAAACAGGGAAGAGGCAAGGGAGAAGAATCACTTGCTCTCCTTTGCTTGCCCCAGCTGTAGTGCCCTAATAATGTTCACTATTTCCTCTCTGCCCTCTTTTTTGCTGAAAGGCCTCATTTCTGTTAATCTCTATTATCTTGCTTCTGTAGTGTTTTTATCTTAATTCCTACAAAATTTATTTTTAATAGTTTGTTGTTATTTTTGTTTTCCATGCTGGGGGTGGAACTCAGAGCATCACACATGCTAGGCACGAGTTCTACCACTGAGCTACATCCCCAGCCCTTGATGGGGTTTTCTGTTAGGTCTAAAGCATAGTGGTCATGTTTGTACTGGGAACGAGCATGTGATAGGTGGACAACTTACCACTTGGGTCACTGAATCTTTCATTACCAGTTTCAGTGGATGAGTTGTGTATCGTCCTCCTTTGGCAGATGAACCTGAGCTTCAGGGAAGTCACCTAGTTCTCTTTAAGTTTCAAAACAGGGATGGGATGGGTAGTTGGTGTAGTGCTTTTATAGCACATCACACAGGAACCAAACTCAACATTCCTACACCTACTAGTTAGAAACCTAAAGATTGTCCTATTTTTTAACTTTTGAGATTATTTTAGATTTGCAGGAATTGGAAAAATTGTGAGAGTTTTCTTATACTCTTTGCCCACCTTCTTTTTAAAATATCTAACATAACCATAGAATAATGAGCAAATTAACAACTTAATCTTGGTTGCAGTACTGTTATCTGAACTACAGAAGTTGCCCAGGTTCACCAGTTGTTTCACTGATGGCTTTTTCCCCATTCCAGGATTCAGGTCAAGCATTCCACATTACATTTCATTATATTTCCTTAGTATGCTGCAGTCTATGATAGTTCCTCGGTTTTTCCTCATTTTCATGACTCTGATTTTTTTTAAAGGACCAATTTATTTTATAGAATGCTCTTCTATTTGGGTTTGTTGAGTGCTTGCTTATATTCACTTGAGGGGATGGTGTATTGATAAGGCTACAACAGAGGCACTCTGCCCTGCTCGGGGAATCATGTCAGGGGGTATGCGATGCTGACATTTATTATTGGCAGTGTTAACCTTAATTACTTGGTTATTTGTTTTTGTTTGGTTTTTTTTTTTTTTTGGTTGGTATTTTGTTTTTGAGGTGGGGTTTTCAAATGTTTCCTAGTCTGGCTTGAGTTCCTAGGCCCGGTGATCTTCCTGCCTCAGCCTCTCAAGTAGCTGGGCCTCAGGCATGTGCATGTGCACCAAGCTAGTACAGTTATTTTTTTCATTAGCCTTTCAGTATAATGTCAAAATAATTTTAAGATTTATTTAGGTTTCTAGATTGAAAACTACATTAGTTTCTTTCCTGTCTTCTCCATCATGATTATGATTCATTTGTAATACAGTTAGATTCATCATTGTAGTCTGCATTCTGTCCTCCCACACATATCCTTGTTGACTTTTTAATTTACATACATTAAAATTCAGTCTTTCTGGTATATGGTTCTGTGGGTTTTCACAAGTGTTGTGTACGTGCCACCACAATACTATATAGAGCATTTCAGTAGTCGTAAAAATCCCCTTTTCAGGGCTGGGGATTTAGCTCAGCGGCAAAGCGCCTGCCTGGCAAGTGCAAGGTCGTGAGTTTGGTTCCCAGTACCGGAGAAAAACCAAAAAAAAAAAAAAAAAAAAAAAAAAAAAAAAAAAAAATCCCCTTGTCATGGCCCTTTGTACACAGCCACCACCACCCCACCACTTCTTCTAAATTCCTGGCCACCACTGATTTATTGTCTTTCCTTTTAGTTTCCTTTTCCAGGGAGTCATGTAAATGGAACACAAAATATATAGCCTTTCATGTAGCAAAATACAGTTAAATTTCATGTCTTGTGTGAATCAGACTTAATTCCCTTTTGATTGCTGAGTAGTATTACATTACATAGGCCACTGTTTATTCATTTGTCTATTGCAGGACATAAAGGTTGTTACTAAGTTAGGATGTTTATGAACCTTACAAACATGTACAGATTCTTATGTAAGCACAAGTTTACTCTCCATGGTATTAAATCCCTATGGGTGGGGTTGTCGTGTGTAATATAAGGTTGGCTGCCTCTTTCTCTGGTTCTTGAGGACCGTCCTCTAATTTGGAATTCCGAATGTAATAGAGTCATTTACGGTGGACCTAGTTTTTGCTGACAGTCCAGGCTTCACACCAGAGAGGCCAGTTACCAGCCTGATGGCCATAATCAGCCATGCTTGTATATTGAAATTTCAGTAAAAACTGTGGATATTGAAGACAAGGGAGCTTCCCTGATGGGCAGCATTATATCATTGTGTTGAGTGTGCTGTTAAGATAATTTGCTGAGGATAAGGCATCTTCATATTTGGAACCCTCACAGATCTCACCCTGTGTGCCTCTCCCTTAGCTGCTTTGTATTTGTATCCTTTTATTATAATAAAGTTGTGATCATAAGTAAAGTGCTTTCCTGGGTGCTATCCATTGTTATAGTGGGTTACCAAACCTGACTGGAATGGTGGGAACCCCTAAACTTGCATCCAGCTGGCCAAAAGTGGCAGAGGCTTAGGGAACCTCTGACTTGAAACTGGAATCTGAAGTGAAGACAGCCTTATGGGAGACTGCCCTAAACCTGGGAAGTTTGGTCTAACTTGAGGCAGTTGGTCTAAGAACTCATTGCACTAAGTCACTTTTAAAGTATATGCTTAATTCTAAAGCTGATAAACATCCACAGGTATTATTACCATTTTGTATTCCTACTGGCAATGTATCAGACTTCGTTGCATCCCATGAACACTAGGAATTGTCACTGGTTACTTAGCCATTCTAATAGGTGCATTTTGGTATTTGTTTTGCTAATATTTTGCTAAGAATTTTTGCATCTATATTTACAAGAGATATCAGCCTGTAGTTTTATTTTCTCCATCTGATTTGGTATCAGTAGAGTGATGCCGACCTCATGAGTCTTCCCTGGAAAGTAATGTGTAGAATTGGCATTATATATCTTTAACTGGCAAGTTTACCAGCATAACCATCTGGTAGTAAGTTTCTTTTTCTTAGCTGTGGTGTGTTTACTGTTTATTCCACTTGCTGTCCTCTGAGTTTTCTGGATCTGTGGTTTTGTGTGTATCATTAATTTGGGAAAATGCTCAGTCATTATTTCTTCTACCCATTACCTTTCTCTGTATTCCATTTATGCACACCTTACACTGATATCCTTACAACTTTTATATGTGCGATCTTTCTGGGTTTTATTTTTGTCCTTTTCTTTCACTTGTGTTTTTAGTTAAGGTTTTGGGGATTCAAGGGCAGTTTTGTTTGTGAGTTTTTTGTTTGTTCTTTGTTTTTTGTTTCTGCAATGCTGGGATTACAGGCGTTTGCTCCCAAGGCTGGCTAATTAGGGCCATTTTCATTGACTTTCAGGTTTGTTGGTTCTGCCCCTAAGACTGATCAGCCAATCAAAGACATTAATCATTTGTTACAGTATTTTTCTTTTCTGACCTGTTACACTTCCCATTTCTTTGCTGACATCACCCATATGATCTTATATATTATCTACCATTTTTCCTTAACATATTTTTTTAAAATTGTCTCTTGGGCCAGGAATATATCTTGGTGATAGAGCACTTGCTTAGCATCCTTGAGGGCCTATGTTCTATCCCCAGCACGCACATGCGCGCGCGTGCGCGCGCACGCACACACACACAATCTCAGCTGGAAAATCTTAGCCAGCCATGGTGGTACATGCCTGTGACCCAGCATTTAGAAAGTCTAGGTATGAGGATTGCAAGTTTGAGGCCAGCCAAGGCTACATAGTGAGACCGTCTCCAAAAAAAAGTTCAGTTTTAAAAATCTGTGTCTGGTGTTGGTGACTGCTCCATCTCTTCAGAGTGTGTGTGTTGTTTTGGTTTTGCCTTTTCCTCTGCCTCTGTATATTTTGCTAAAAGTAATACAACTAACATGAAACAGTAGATACTTTAGTGAATAGATACTTATGCCTGAAAATAAGCATGCATTTTTTTCTGCTTACACCATCATTGCACAGATGGTATTAATCTAATAAGGAGTTAGGCTTGTTTTAAGATTCGTTGTAGATATGATGAACCTTAGTGATTTCTGGTTCCTACAGCAGTACATTACTGTATTACTGATAGTAGCTAGGTTGATGGAGCAGTGCGTGTCCAAGCTTTTCACTGTCCTGTGGCTTGAACAAGATCCCTCCCACCCTGCGGTCATGGTAGGCAAACCCTCTGCCTCTAAACCTTGCCCCTCTGTTCTGTTGCTGCTGTCTTGCCCTTCTCCCAGAAACATTCTGCTGCTGTTTGGAACATGGCTGGGGCTGGTGTTCATAGTTGTAAATGCTGGGGGTGGGGGTTGTCTTAGTTTACTTGCCCTTTCCCAGGTAGTTGCAGACCCACTGACCTTCGTGCCCCTCGTACAGGGGTAGGGTTCTTCCGCCCTGCCGGCTTCCTTGGCTGCAGTGACAAGTACCAGTGCCTTGAGGGAAGCAGTATCTTTGGTCTTTCACCACCCCCCTGCTGCCCTGTGTAATCCCTTCTCTTCCATGGACCAGGTTGGAGGAAGGTTTTGGTTTTTCTGCACCTTTCTCCAAGGATGCTGGGTACCTCTCCTGTGTCTGCCCCACAGCTGACACTTCCTAGGGCTCTTTTCCGTCCTTCCTGTGAGCCCCTGGTAGTGATTGTGTAGAAAAAGCCTGCAAGAAGGTGCAGACTCCAGCAGTTTCTGTAGTGTGCCCCCACCCCATGTACTTGCAGCCCATACTGTCCCTTCGCTAATGATCACTTTAGCTAAATGTGCTAGTGTTCGCTCTCCCTGTAGAAACCTAACACCCTCAACTTCAGTTAGCCACTCTTCAACCGTAGTTTTCCAATGTTGTTTTTTGTTTTTTTTAAGTCCTAATTTGTATTTAATCTGGCCCACTTTCATTGTAAGAGTGATAGCAACGTTTCTTCTAGCTCCGTGTCTCACAGAGCAGGGTACTGTTTTGTTTTTTTAAACAACTTAACAGTTTACCAAGTGTCACTTGGGCAGGTGTCATTTCAACCAGTCAACTCTTGTATTGAATAAATTTGATGAAATTGTCATTTTATATTTCCTGTAATATTATAAAATTTAATGAAAAAATATGCAAATTTTAGTCATACTGTATTTAAATAATTGTATTGGTAAGTGGTTAATATGTAAAGTATACACTGTTGAATTAGAGACAGTATAATTTTAAAGCCATAATTCAAAAAATAAACTTTTAAAATTTTTATCTAAGTTCACTTTTACTTTTAAATTACAAGGCTGAGTATAAAAAGTTTGGAAAACAGAAAACCCAAGAGCCATTTTCTTTTTTGCATATTCATCTGTCTTTACATGACCATATTTTTTTTTTTTTTTTTTTGGTTTTTCTCCGGTACCGGGAACCGAACTCACGACCTTGCACTTGCCAGGCAGGCGCTTTGCCGCTGAGCTAAATCCCCAGCCCCTTACATGACCATATTTTTAAACTTCTCATTCGATCTCTACTTCTCACATGAGTCAATAAATACATACTTCATAGTCTAGATTTATAGAAGCTTTCAAACTCTGCCCAGTGGGGCTAAATGGCAAATGGTAGGTAGCATCAGCCACTCTGTAGTTTGGGCCATAAATCGAGGGCGCTGCCCTGTTTCTAAACCTCTGTCCTCCTGTTCCGGTTCAGCAGAGCTCTTCTGAGCCAGAGTGCTCAGCCAGGCCCTGCAACACGGCAGCGTCCCTGACATGCAGCTGGAGGGCTGCTCTGTTTTTACCTCTCGGTCATTTCCGTGTGACCTGGTTAGGCTGTAGTAGCTGTGCTTAACTGCCCGCCCTTATCCTCTAGCCCTCACATTACAGTATTGGGACTGGCAAGAGCTTTTTCATCTTCACATTTTGGTTACTTGTTTGAAAAATGATTTCTCCATATGTTTGTCACTTCTGACAGATTTTCACATTTGTTTCCCTGTTTCAAAAGCAGAATCAGAAAATCAGAACCTCTGTGTGAAGGGCCCTGCTTGCAGCCTGAAGGCAGGGCACATCTTATCTGGAAGTCCCGTTACTGGGTGGCATCCTACAACTTAACATAAGAGGTATGCTAAACCCAGTGGCCTGTGGAAGAGCACTTTGTTGTTGAACAGTTTGGGGTCTCAAAAGAACCCAATTTGTTTGAAATATAAAGAAAGGCTCTTCCAAGGCCAACTAAAAATAGACTTCCTAAAGCGCAACAGAAATGTTCTTCACTGATTGCTGTTAAAGTAACTGGTGACTCAGTGGTACAGCCTGTGCCGAGCGTGCTAAAAGCCCTGGAATCAATGCTCAGCTGCAAGACAAACAAACAAAAAAACCAGGCTACAGCCCTGTAATCAGAAAGGAAAATGAAGCCAAGGTGCAGTAGCACACTCCTATAAAGGCCAGCATAACACCTTATCCATCCATCCATGTAGGCTTTATTTTTTTGACCGGGGGTTAAACCCAGGGCCTCATGCATGCTTAGTGTTGTACCAGTAAGCTACGCCCCTGGCTCAAGATAGTGATTTCCAATAACTTTCCAACAGTACATTGCTATTAAGTTCAAATGATTATTATACCTAATGGTTCACTTAAATCTTCTTATATGTTACTGCTTCAGAAAATACTAAATTTTAAGGATTTTTTTCAAAGATAAACTACACTTATCAAAAGGTCCTTTTCTATGTATAAAGTATTAAAAACTGAAGTTAGGGAATTTGGAATTTAAAATCATTGTAATTGTGTGAAGCTAAAAGGTCTTAATGGTGAGAATGAATAATAATGCAGGGTACTTAACTAGTTTTTTATTTTGTACTTAACCAGTTTACCTCCCATTCCTTTAGATGCAGGTTAATTGTCTTCACTTCTGTTCCCCCATGTCCACTTTTCTTCTTTTTGCAGGGGCGAC